TTTATATAAATATTTACAAGCTTATAATCTTTTTGTGGTTCTCATTTGATTATCATCTCTCCTCGAACACACAAATATATATATATATATATATATATAATTTCTAAAAAAATCATTTTTATTAATTTAAATATTGTCTATATATATGTATAATCTTTTTAGTATGTAAATCTATAAAAGCTTATTACAATCAGTCATATATATAAATCAACTTATTTTACTTTTTTAATTCATGTTATATCAATCTCTTCTTTTCTATCTTTATAATTTAAAATTTAGTGACGATAAATAATATTAATTGATCAATATTTATTAATTTACAATGACTTCGGACTCATAAAATGCAACCTCTCTCTCCATGTATTATATATTTACACATACACATACATATATATATATATATATATATATCATCAATATAATAATTAGAATATTAATGATAATAAATAACATTTATTAATTAGTATTTAAAAATATTTATTTATTGATTTGTACTTATAAAATTTGTATTAATACATGTTTAAGCCCCAAAATACATATTCACAATTTTATAAATGTGTTTCTATCATTCATAATTAAGAGATCAATGAATTCTCTATCTCATAATTAAGAGTAGAGTTGGAGTAGATATTACCTTTTGAAAGTGAACACTTACTTTCTGACAAACTAAAATAGAAACGAGAACATTTATTTCGGGACGGATGAATTATTTGTTTTCGTTGTTTGTAAACATCATTCGTCTTATAACAATGAATTATTTTATATAGTAATTTATACGTATTAATAATCGGTTAATATATTTTCATATTATTTATAGACTAAATTTCTATTTACCATATTTTTTGTACATATAGTTATGTGCGATTTACACGTACAATTATTTAGTTCTTAAATAAAAATCGGTAGAAGTATCATCCTCTTTTTTGTAAAAAGAAAAAACCTCATCATCAATCAGACAAACAATACATAAATTATCAACACTCATGTCGTTATTATTACTCATTTTATTTAATTTTATAACTTTATTCCTAAACATATATCTCTATGTGTGTGTGTGTGTGTGTATATATATATATATATACTAGAAGAATACTCGCGCAATGCAGCGAAATACATTTTGATTTTAATATTTCATTTTATTCTTTATCTCAGTCGATGTTATAATATGGTCTTACGTGATTTTGAAAAAACGATGATTTTTTATTTTTAAATAAAATATAAATATGAACTTATCATAATAATTTGACAAAAATATATTGATATTAGTATCAAATTAACTAGTTAAAATTTCTCATTTTTTGTGTAACTTTTTAATTCAATTTTTTAATTATAATCAATTTAGGTTCAATAACGAAGTAATTTATATTTGGTTTAATAATATAATTTTATTATAAAGATAATAATTAATTATTTTGTTAGAACTCGATAATTATTCTAATTATATTTTATATTTTAAAATGAGATGTTTATCATCTATTTGATTATGTTTATCTGCAGTTAGTTACCCAAATTCAAACATTGAGCTTTAATAAGTTGTACTTATGCATAATTTACTGTAATATTGGATTTTAAGTAATATACATCAATATACAGTACTTTATGCATAAAAAATGGTTTTTAAGAGTTTTTGTCAAATACTTTATAATATAGTATTGATATATATTAAAATTTCACTAACTAGATTTTATTAACTTTTTCAAATTATTTAAATACTATTTGTTGATAATTCTATTAATAACTTATCTATCTATCTATCTATATATATATATATATATATATATATATATATATATATATATATATATATATATAGACTTGGGATCATGTGAGACCAAAGGTTTTTCGTGAGACCCGTAAGATTAATTCTCAACCCTTAGATTAGATCTACAATCAGAACATTCATAATCACAAAATTGCCATGAGACTTCTCAATAATCACAAAATTGCCACCGTACAACTTTAGACCATTAGATAATTAGTTTATAAAGTTGATCAATGAACATAAATTGGTCTTACGGGTCTCACGAAAAATCTTTGATCTCACGTGAATCCAACTCTCTCTCTCTCTCTCTCTCTCTCTATATATATATATATATATGGTTGGATTTACATGAGACCAACCTATTTTTGTGAGACTCGTAAGACCATATTTTTTAAAAAAAGTCGAACATTTACAACAAAAACACTATGAAGTTTCAAGTATAAAAAGATGGTCTCATTGGTCTCATGAAAATAGACTGCTCTCACGTGATCTCAAGTCTGTATATATTTATACACATATATATATATATATATATATTTATACATACAATATTCAAATTATTAACCAAAGTAGTGTATTATAACTTCAAAATTGAAAAAGAATTTGAGGCGTTTACTAGGAAAGGGATCAAAGCATATATGGACATGGCGATTGTCAGTGTAGGCAGGTCGATTAGAAATGGAGTCACATAGAACAGGTTGCTGAATCATCTTTGCATTATATTGATGACACCCACATCAAAAAAGGATCATCCACAGTGAAAATCCAATGGGTGGTGGCGTCGGTGGAATTCTGCTCGACAGCTCTGTAATCTTGGATTCCACCTCAAACGATGATGAAACTGCAACACTTCGCACCGGAGCAGACTATTTACTTCGCAAGCTTCGCCATTCCAACATTCCTACGGTAACTCTCTTTTTGTTCTCCGGCCACTATCCTCGCTGCCTTTGGTTTCTTAGATCTTGGTGTGCATGGAATCCTGGTGGATTCTTCTACTACTTTCGTTGTTTTAATCTCTTCGACATTATTCCTTTAGATTGCTTGAATTGTACCTCTATGCAGAAAGGGGTTTTCTCTGGAACCCACGGATTGTATGGGAATCTGTTAATCCTTGTTCATACCCATGGAAATACCTCAAGCCACCATCGGAGCTAAAAAAACTTATGAGAGGGGATGGAATTTCCAAATTGATTATAATTTCTATTTTGGGGCCAAATTCTTTAACTTCATGAACTCCCACTAAATTTCTTAAATATCTTTGTTCACTAGAAAAGCTGGAGGGGCTAACACCTCTCTGGCTCTGTTGCTACCTCAGACCCTGACATAATGCTTCTTAGGAGCTAGCTATAAGATAATCAGAAGAGAAAGACAAATTAGTGGAATGTTGTGGATCAAGATCAATAGAATCAATAATTTGGGAGGAAACTGTAGGCAATCTGCATGTGTAAAGGGATACTATTTGTACTCCTGAGAGTCTGAAATGTAGTTGATGATCTCTCAAAATTTGTAGATTTTTACATTCTTACCGTTTCAGAAAACACAAATCTGTAGTTAATTCTTGGTTATGACCTTTCTATTTATAAACTAGTTGTTGGCTAAAATAGGTTGTGGTCTAAGTGCTTTGTTGTTGTCCTACTCAAGAACTGGTAATTATTTGCACCTGTTCGTATGTAAGCTTGCTTATCTCATCGTTTTTGTTAGCATTTAACCATCAGTTTTTTTTTTTCTGTGCAGGGAATATCTTATGCAGTAGGTCTTTCGGAAGCGAAGGTAATACTTCATTATGTGCTTTTGCATGAATCAAACCATATATATTTTATGTAAAGAATATATTAAGTGGGTTTTTGACTCCAACATGATTTTTGTGGCTCTTTTGTATTTATGTTGATTTCTCAAATATTTATGCTTGGTGAAGACTAATAAATACACAGTTTGATGTTTTCCAATTACTGCCAGCCAAAGAGAACGTATATTGAATAATATCTCATCCATGAATTGATATATAATGTTTGGTATTAGGAGTTAAGGGATTGCCAACTATTGTGTGATTAACATTATAACACACTGGATAGTGGTATATAGTTGAAGGTTTTGGGGAACCATATTCCCCTCTGTCAGATATGCAAGGCAATTTATAGTCCCTGTGTCCCAAAAGAGAGCATATTTAATGTCTTATTTTATGTTTTGGCACATTGGCCTATCTATATGTACTCTTTTTGTTCCTATGTTTTTCAATAATTCTATTTTGCTTTTGAGGCCAACTCTCTTTCATGGTATCAGAGCCATGACTCTAGATTCAAACCCTAGCCATTAGAAATTAACCACTGCGCCTCCTTTCTGCAAGTGCCTCTGCACATATCAGTCTAATAGGTCCCTGAACCATCATCTCAAAGTTAACTGGTCTTGTTGTCCATTGTTTGACTTTTGTTTCCCCTCAAATTTTGTACTTCTCTTCTGTAGCCTGCCCTAACAACGATGTGGCAGTTCTCATAAGTCATGGATTAGGGGTACACAAGCTGCTTTAAGGCAGCTGCCAATGGTTCGCTTCTTATCAAAATGTTTGAAATTGTTGCTATTATAGTCATGGTTACCTAGTATACGAATTCTTAGAGAGAAGATTTTTGTGTATTTCAATACTTTGGAGTATATAATATTTATAAGGCTAGTATACAACAAACTAAACCTACAACTTAGGGAACAACTTTGGATTAACATGGCTAACAAACTCAACTAGGATTAGGAATGATAATTATGAATATTCCAACACTCCCGCTTAAGCGAGCGTGTATATATCGGTCATGCCAAGGTTGTAAGTAAGGTCTTCGAATAATCTTCTTGTGAGACCTTTTGTTAGTATGTCGACTACTTGCTGCGTGGTGGTTAAGTAAATCATGCACACACTTCCGGAGTCAAGTTTTTCTTTCCATTTTCCCACGTAGTTCGTYGGTCAAACCAACGATTATCTTCTCAAAGTAATAGGGAGATCCTTTTCTAGTTAGACTTCTTGATGAAATGCCGATCTACTTTCACGTGCTTAATTCGGTCATAGTGAACTGGGTTTTGAGCTATGCTTACTGTTACTTTGTAACTTCATAGGGGATTCAAACAGTACACATAGCTCCTCTATTACCCATCATAGCCATATTCCTTCACAGATACCATGTGCCACTGCTCTGAATTCAAAATCAGCAGTGCTACGAGACAATACAACAGGTTGTTTATTACTTCCCCATGTCATGAGATTCCCCCATAAATAACTGCAATATCCGTTGGTACAACGTCCTTCGGTGGCAACACGTGCCCAATCAACATCTATGAATACTTTAATGAACCTATTTTCTCCTTTCTTGAAGTGCAGTCCTTTCCCAAGGTCCCTTTTAAGTAACTCAATACTCTATAAGCTGCTGCCATGTGTCTCTCCTTTGGAGAGTGCATAAATTGGTAGATAACACAAACAACAAAAGTGATATCTTACCTTGCTCGTAAGAGATCGATGAGTTTTCCTACCAACCTTTGATATCTCTCTTTGTAAGCCTCTAGACTATCTTCCTCAGCTCCTAGCTTTTTAGGTTCTATTGGGATTTGAAATTGAGATTCCTTCTTGGCTTCTTACAACTTCCATACATAGGAAGTATTTAAGTGGTCCAAGGTCTTCCATTTCGAACTCCGAGTTGAGGTAGGCTTTTAGTTGGTTGATTTCATTCAAGTCGTCTCCTATCATGATTATGTCATCAACATATATGATAAGGATTGAGAGCTTATCATTTTCCGAGTGCTTAAAGAACATATTGTGATCCGCTTGTCCTTGACTGTACCCTCTACTTGTTACTGCTTGAGTGAATCTACTAAACCAACCCTCAGTGATTGTTTTAGCACGTAAAGTGACTTCTTTAATCTGCACACCTTTCCTTCGAGGTTTTCAAATCCAGGGGAAATCCATATAAGCATCCTCACTGAGTTCACCATTTAGGAATGCATTTTTAACATCCAATTGCATTAGAGGCCAATAGAGGTTAACTGCCAAGGAGAGTAAAACTCAAACAATATTGAGTTTTGCAACAGGGGCTAGCATCTTTTGATAGTCAATGCCAAATTGAGTGTAGCCTTTAACTACAAGTCTTGCCTTGTACCTGTTTATGCTGCCATCACTATTGTACTTGATGGTGAACAACCATCTGCATCCAACAGTCTTCTTCCTAGTTGGAAGGTCACTTAGATCCCATGTTCCATTATTCCTCAATATTGTTCGTTCCTCCAAGACTGCACTCTTCCATTTAGAGGATTGAAGAGCGTCTATGGTTTTTGGAGTTTCAACCTGATCCAAACGAGTAAGGAATGCGCTATGTGTAGGAGACAACTTCTCATAGGACACAAAATTGGAAATTGGGTGCTTCGTACATGATCGGATCATCGGACTCCCTTTCGAAGGGCAATTGGGAGATTTTCATGTCTTGTAGTTGTAGTATTTGAGACAACTGTTGATGATTGTTAATTTTCAAAATAGTTTTCAAGGACAACTTCTTGTGGTTTCAGAGTTATTGATTTATCCATTCTAGTAGAGTGATGTCCTCGAATAAACAAGCAAATCGGGTCCATCCAGTTTGGGAACCTATCAGGTTCACGCAGTGAGGGATTCGTGAGAAATGATGGCCTTTCGAGGTAGTCTACAAAGAGATTTTCTGGAACTGGAATTATTTGAATATCATGTTGGTTTTCCTGATTTTTGGCAACTTCAAGGTCAAGGAGACCATTTAAGGACAATCTTCTTTTAGACTTTCCCCCTAAAGATGATGCCTGGGAAAATAGGGCTCAAATTCGAACAACATCACGTCCTTAGAGACGAAGATTCATTGCAAGGCAGGTAAGAAACACTTCTATCCTTTCTGTGTCGATGAATAGCCAATGAAGAAAATTTGTGGGTATGAAGATCGGGTTTGGACTGACTTGGATCACGGGAATGGACAAAAGCTTTACACCCACAGTTTTTCAGTGAAAGAGAGGAGGCTTGAAATAGTAGAAATTCTTTTTAGGCTAGTAATAGAGGTTTGCAGGCCAAGAACTTTGAAAGGTAATCGATTTATAAGGTAACCTGCGATGAGAACAACTTCACCCTACAAATATTTGGAAGTGTGCATGGTGAACATCAAGGCACTTGTTATGGCTAATAAGTTTCGGTTCTTTCGTTCGAAGACACTGTTCTGTTGGGGGTTATGTCCGAACATGAGCTTTAGGTAGGGTTTGGTATGCTGACAGGATTGGACTAGACAGAACTGGGTAGGACTGGACGGGACAAGTTGTCTGTCTGGTGTTTGGTACGATTAGAACTGAATTGGACAAGTTGCCCCCAAAAAAGTTGTTTGATGATTTTATATGTAATATAATAATTATAAATGACAAAAATCAAGTAAAAAAATATGTAAATAATTTAATTTATAAACATTTTTAAACAATTTTCATATATATAAATACATACATTGATACATATATAATAGTACCAAATTTCAATGAAAAATGTAGAATAAATTACGGATTTGGTCCCTAATGTATGTCAATTATTACATATTTGGTTCTTTATCTTCATTTATTACGAAAGAACCTGCAACGTATGCAGTTTTTTTATGGATTTGGTCCCTCAAACTAACATTCGTCCATTTTATCTGTTGAGTACAAGGGTAAATTGGTCTTTTTAGCATTTTTCTTTATTTTAACATTTTCTAATTAATTTTCTTTGTTTCATCAAGAACAATCAAGAACGATCTTCATCTTCATTATTTATGAAAATCCATCCATGAATCTTCATCTCCCTTACCATTTATATAGAATCATTCAAAGTATTTGTAATGTAAACCCTGAAATCTAAATTAAACCTTAAAATCAAAACTCTAAAATATGAATCAAACCATTTAATCAAAACCTAAATTACACTCTAAGATAAAAAAATCTAATTCAAACCCTAATCTAATGAAGGCAACAGTTTTGGGAGATGGGTGTCGGAGGTCGAAGACCACTGGGACGAAGCACAAGGATGACCTACAGGGCGAACCACAGATCTGCAGCGCCATTCCTTCATCTCTATTGCTAGCAAAACCCATCTCCATCTGGAACTCCCACCGTCGACCAAACCCACTCTCCTTTGTCCATCTGAACTTTGAACCATCCTTGAAGACTTCATTGTTCCTGGTTTTGGATTCACTATCTGGATTCACACAATCTCGAAGACTCCATTGTTCTTGGTTTTTGATTTATGATCTCGAAGACTCCCTTGTTCCTGGGTTATATTGAATCACCAAGAAGGAGGCATCAATTTTAATTTTTGGTTTTTTATTTAGTTTTAATTTATGGATTTTGATTTAGGTTATAGGGTTTTCTTCAATGTTCTTGATGAAGAATATGGAGAAGATATTATTTGAATGGATTGAGTTAGGATTTTTGATGCATTTATGTTGTTGATGGTAGTAAGAAGATGAAGATTAAAGAAAAACAAAAACAATTAATAAAAAAATGTTAAAATAGAGAAAAAAATGATGCGTTTAACGGAGACGATAGACGAACGTTTGCATGAGGGAAGAAATCCAAAACAAACTTCATAAGTGGAGGTTCTTTTGTAATAAATGAAGATAAAGGACCAAATACTTTATAAATGACATACCTTAGGGACGAAATTCATAATTTACTCAAAATTTTTATAATTGATGGTAGTTAAAAAAAACCCAGTTTGTACAAATGAAACACATGTTTTACTCAGTTTTAGAAGATCCTTATGAATTTGCAGGGGAGGTTGTTGCAGCGACAATGGTGGATGCAACAACGATCGAATGAGGTAGTGGTGGTTGAGGTAAAGGTAGTGGTTAGCCATATAGTGGTTACTACCGGTGGTGGGTGGAGGCAGAAGCAATGGTGGCTAGTGACTATGGAGGACGTGAAAATGGTGGACAACTATGAAACTATGGTGGCTAGTGACAATGGAGTCAAATATTCGGTGGGTATTAGAACAAGATTTAAAGAAGACATAAAGGTTAGGCCATTAGGGCGGTACCTTGGATAGATTTGTTGAGGAGTCGGTGCAGAGTCTCTAACTAGGCTCTGTTTAGTTGGACGTACATAACCTCATCTAAGGTTGGTGGTCCTTTTGAGACCAGTGCATAGTTCATATACACGACCTCTTTGTTTGTTCTTCCTCGAGTCTCCTCTTTCTCGAGGCTTAAAGGTGGGTGGTCCTTTTCATACAAGTGCAAAGGTCTGTATAGGATAATTGCCATTGTTGAAGACTAGTTTGGCTCTTTTTTGTTCTCCGAGCATCACATGTTGGCGGTTTTCTAGACGGTAAACCTGCAAATGCTTCACCAATTGACGGTAAGGGGGTTAGCCTAGAATTCTTCCACTCACCTCATCCAAATCATCATTTAAACCTGCTAGGAAATCGCAAAGTCCTGCTTTCTCTAAGTGAGCCTTGAATTTGACATGTTCTTTGACTTCGCCTCAATCAACTGCATAGAACATATTTGGTTTTGCCATGACTTTCAAATAGTTATAGTAGTTGGTTACTTCAGATGTACCTTGATGAATCTCTTTCAACTTCGTCATGATCTCGAACACTATGAAGGCATTTCCTAAGTCAGGGTAGTTTTCATTGACTGCATTCTAGATTTCTGTTGTAGTTTTAAACAAGTAGGTATGACTGATGTTGCTTTCCATAGAGTCGATGAGCCATGCTATTACAATTGAGTGGTTAAGTTCCCACGAATCATATTGCTTATCAGTTGAACTAGTGCGAGGGATGCTACCATTGAGGTATCCCAATTTACCCTATAGACTAAGACCATTGCAGGAAATTTTGTCCATTGAGTTTCTGACTGTAGGTTGGGGTCTGTGATTGGTAGAAGATTCGGATGTCAAGATGCTGGACGAAAGATCTTGATAAATTACTCAACTGAAAGCAAAGAAAAAATCGTATGGTTATGCAATGATTAAGAGGGAAAGAGGAATCCAAACTATAGTCGGATGAGTAGGCCAGTAATGGAGCATAGAAACACAACCTAGATTCTAAGGCTCTAATGCCATATACGAATTGAAAGAGGGAAGATTTATGTGTATTTCAATACTTTGGAGTAGACAATATTATAAGGCTAGGATACAACAAACTAAACCTACAACTTAGGGAACAAACTTTGGATTAACATGGCTAACAAACTCTCTGCAAACTAGGAAGATAAGTTTGGATATTCCAACACCTAGTTTCACACAATGCTCTTAAATCCGGACGTGAGATCGATCCTTACTAGATGCCCAAGAGAACTCTCTAAAGAAGGGTATACAACGTCCATATTCTTCTAGGCTTTTTTGTATCATGCAGATTCTCATCATACTTGTATTGATATTAGACTTGTGTAGTAGAACCTGGAAAGGTTTCTAGATCTAAGGAGTTCCTTGAAGAGTTAGAGCCTCCTATAGAAAGGGGTATCCTCCCTCATTTTTAAGCATCCAAGAGTTGGAATCCAAATTTGAGAATCAATAAGCCAATAAGCTTATGAAGCACTCCTCATCATCAGGGGTGGACCTACGAAGGCCCGAGCGGGGTCCCGTGCACCTGCTCAACCAATTTTTGCAAGTAGAATTTTTTTGGGGTATGAAAGGTACACCTACTAAACTTTGAGGGGTGCTCTGGAATATTAGAAAATACAAAGAACATCAAAAACCAAAAACCGAAAGGGTCTCTCGAAATCAACCAAAAAACCTTTAAAAAATATCTCTTGAAATGTTGGAATTCCGCTAACATGCGAGTTTGTAAGTCTTTGATCCATCTTAAGGGTGCGTTTGGTACACTGGACAGGACAGGACAGAACAAAACAGGGATCACTGTTTCACATTTGGCAAGACTTTTATGTGGAATAGACGGGAACAAACAGGCATATTCCACCCTAACCCATGGAACAAGGTGGAACAGACTTATGTTTTACCAATATAACCTGAAAATAAAACCTAATTCACTTCTAAAAATCAAACGCGCCCCCTCTTTACATTTTATTCATTCTTTAAATTTTATTTATTGTATTTTATACTTCATAAACTTTCACTATATTATCCTCAAATATTAGTTTTATACGGTTTCTATATTTTGATTAAATTATGTAAATTATTAAATATTAATAATAATAAATAATATAGAAAAGGTATAAAATAAAGATCGGAAACTACATAAACTTTTTATTTTGTTGTCAATTTAATTGTCTTGATGAAAACTTTCTAATGATATATTTTGTTATAAAAAATATTTATTATATTATAATTTAATAAATTACATAAATTAATACAAATATATAAATAGCTCATTAGGGATAAATTTTGTTCTTTTATCTTTTTTGTCCTGTCCAGTTTTGTCTTCCCAAATGCTGAACAACGTTCATGTCGAGTCTTTATCCCGTCCAGTTCTGTCTTGTTCTGGTACCAAACACACCCTAAAGGTGCACCTGCTCGGAAAAAATCCTGGGTCTGCTGCTGCTCATTATCCTCTAGTTTTGTTCATAGCTTCTCTGAATCATATCATGCCTGCGACAGCCTACTTGCATAGGATCTGGACTAGATGACCTGCTCTGGTGCTATGGGTTTTTGGTTTGGTTTCAGCTGGAGTCCCAAATTTCTGAATAAGAAAAGATTTCTTTTGCTATTGGTTTGATTGGTCCATGACTTCGATAAACATAAGCATTCCTTTGCCTGCCAATGTTTCTTTTCTGTTTCATTTTCTCAAATGATCAAGAATACATTCTTAAAGAACACATTCTGGTGTTTCTATAGTAAATGGTACTCCCTTTCCTCCTCCTCTTAACAGTTCCTTTTCAATTTGGTATATTTAGGTTAGACTCTCTTGGCGGCCTTTCTAGTATTTTTAAGTATTAGTTCATGATTAAGTACCTAACTATTTTATGTGCTTATTGTAGGTGAGCCTTCTTGAGAAGCTGATTTGTGTATACTCATTTGAGCATTTCATCTATAATCCATCTTCTCTGGATGACACTGTAAACGCGGTTTCTCTAGCTTGGGATAATAATGGTGCAATTATTTTGCATGTGGTTTCAAAGTACAACGAAGGACTTGTTCCAAAATCATTTAGTTCTGGCTGGATGAATGTCTTTGTCAGTAAGTAACCGGACTTCAATGAGGGACTTGGTCCAAAAATTCTGGATGGATGAATGTCATTCTCAGTAAGTAACCGTGTGAATGATCTATCTACCTGTCAGATGTTGATGGTGATGATGCAAGCAGAAATCCAACTGGAATTTTCATAGAGAAACTAGAAGAGTTACCTCTGACGGTCTGTGAGTTGAATAGAAAGGTAATAATAGTGTCTCTTTCATTTATGTATGACAGATTTCTTGTACATCAAGCTACTTTAATCCACCCTCTTAAAAAATACGGTAGAGAATATGCTGTTGATCACGATACTAGAGAGATGTATGGCTTTTCGGGCATACTAAAAATTTATCTAAAGCTTTATAAATGGATATAAAATGATTTATGTTCGTTTATATGTGTGCTTTTCATGACACGTGGTCATTGTTTAGTTATGCTTTGATGGATATGAATTGCCTCTTGCATCTTCATCTTTAGTTATGTTTCCTTGTTCACTTTCTGTTCTTTGCTTTCAAGCAGTCAAGTGAGGGTAATCTGGTTGTGGGTTATATTATGAAGCCAAGTCGAGAAGAAGATTTTGCAAAGGTGAGAACTTTTGTAGTTCTTTCAAATTTAAATATATACTAAAAATGCCTTCCGTCAATATCAACATAAAAAAGATTTACAGGCTCAAGGAGGAATAATTGGATATGAAATAATAATAAAAAGTGTAATTGATTGGACGATATGTTTTCACATGGTATGTTGCCATCTTGCCACAAAATCATTAGAAGAATATTGTGATCCTCCCTTGGCTAACATCTCAAAAACTGTTTTTTCGCTTAAGTTGATAGTTCTAATCTTGCATTTGGCCAAACTTATTACGAATTGTAATTTCTCGTCTCTGAATGAATGATTGTGGCCATGAAGGAATCATTCACGAAATGTTGTATGGTAAAAGTATTTGATATGATTATAGCATTGGAAGCTAATTAGTATCATGTTCTGTTTGCAGAGAGGTGCATTTCCGTTAAACCCTACCCAAAATGGGTTGATATTTCTACCTCTCACTTTTGACCTCCCAATATTAACTCAGTTGAAAAAAGTGGAAATTGTTATCCATAAAGCAACTGATGAAATTTCCTCAATTGAAAGAAGCAATTCTAGTGATTGCTCTAGTAAGATCATTTACACCAGAGGAATGCTGGAATTGCAGAGGTAAACTTCTATTCACCTCTGTGTAGTTCTGATTTTTGTAGCCTTGGTTTCAATATTAGTGTCATAAGTTAAGACTCAATGAGTATATAAACTCAAATTGTTGGTTTATTATATATATATATATTTATATATATATATATATATATTCTTTTTTAAGGCACATATATATAAATATTATGAACTGAATTACATTTACATCATAAGGAATTAATCTGAATGGTATCTTCTCAATTTGCAAGTTGACTTCAAAGGACAGATTTGTCATGTGAGAGCGTATCGGATGTTTGGTCAATATCTCTGAACTCGTATATTGGTTCTGTTTGCTTAATTACTTGCCAAACTAAATTATGCAGACGTGCCTGTTCCATTTGCTGCTTTTCTTTTTTCCTTCTTTCTCAACCTTCCATTTTGCTCACACTGTTGCACAAGCCGGGGGTCTTCATGGAAACAATCTCCCTATCCTTTGGGGTACCCTGCTCTCGAGTGGGGTATACTGTAGAAGATTGTGTACACACATACATCCATCGCTAAATCCAATTTCTTCAAGTATTTTCAACTGCACTGTCTAAATGTGTGAATGGATTGTTTTCTTCTTATTCTTGGGTCAAAAGAAAGTGAACTCGTATCATTGAGCCACATGGACTTGTTTCCTTTTCTTCTTGTTCCTCAGGTGTATAGGTGAACTGTCAGATTGCTGCGTGATTGATCCATTTGATAACATTTTTCCTATTGTGGATCGACTAAAAATCCAAGAGATCCTACTAGGATTGGAGGATCTTAAAACAGAAAGCCAATGCAAAATCAGAGGGCCTTACTATTTAAAGGTTTTTACATCATAAATTTTTATATATTATATATCAATTCACTTCTCTGCATCATAAATTGTTATTATCCACTTGATATTGAGTTTACCTGTAGAAATGTGTTTATAGGTTGATAGCTTTGACGATCTTGAATTGGAACAAAGGCTTTGTGGAGCTAAACTATCCCTTCCGAGTATTGTAAAACCTCAAGTTGCTTGTGGTGTAGCCGATGCCCACAGTATGGTAATAACTGCTTCTGTTTTTCAGTGCAATGTCAACTCTAGTTTACTCGGCACGTTTGGTCCCTGTGGTTTACCCTTTTTAATGGATTTGGTCCTGAAATCAAAATAGTTACGGATTTGGTTTGCATCTTTGCACTCCTTGAGTCCCTCGAGATAACAAAGACTAACAATACAGAGATTATATGAGTGGAGAGACGTGGAATATACTAGTACTCCCCCATCAATATAAAAATGTAAACTTACACTTTTTTTGTAGTCACCGTAGAGATTTCGTATTTGGAAATTACCTATTTTACTAGTTTTTGTTATATAGTTTATGTTGAAAATTCATGGAACTTCAGACAATTTGATGGTTTAAGTTTGACCTTTAACTTCAAGAGACAAAAGTTACCTCTGTTTTTCTGGAACATGGGGCAGTAAAGGGAATCTGGTCCAGCTTTTGAAGGACTTTATATGCTTGAAACACAAAGAACAACAAGGACGAACCCAACAGTCGTCTTTTAATATAGTGAAGCTGTGTTCCATCAACACAAGTAACCTGCAATCATTAACATCTTATTATATGCTCAATGGGCTCATGTAGTAATTGGCAGGCCATTGTCTTTAAAGCTGCTGATTTCACGGGTTTATCTGTTCCTCTTCCAGCAGTTGTGCAGGTATGAAATTTAATTTATTAGCTAGGGATATATATATATATATATATATATATAGAGAGAGAGAGAGAGAGACCCAACATCAAATAGAAACCATCTACAAGTTACAAACCGTGAAAACTAGTTTCATGTATTATTTCGTCCGTTTCAAAGATGAAACAATACATGTGAAAACCAAACCCGTGAAAATCAACCAGAACTATCCCGTGAGTTTGATTTTAAGCTATGATTCATATTGTCTCACATGTCTTGTGCGTGAGTATGAATGTGTGTTTCATGTATAAACGTATTTTCGAGTTCTATTTCACACACAAAACATTCCTTGACGTTTTATCTATGAAACAACATTGTACGAACACTGGATGTTCACACGTATTTTTTCAACTATGAAACAACACATACAAACTGGTTTTCATGGTTTCTAACTTTTAGACAATTTTTATTTTATTTGTCCCCTATATGTGTGCATATATATGCATGTATTAGTATGTATGTATGTTTGGTATATCCCTTTTAGGGTCTTACATGTTAGGGGTTATTTAGGAGAATAACCTGCTGACATATTTTTTTTCTTTTTAAAGGCATGACATTCTGTCGGGTTTTGAGGCATTCTTGTTTTTTGAAAAGGAATTTTAAAATTAGGCGGCGTTCTTAAGTCTGTCAGAAGGTCATGCATTTAGAAAAATCTATAAGAAGGTTATTCTCCTAAATAACCCAGGATTGAATAAGTTACCGCCCAACCACTTTAAGCTTTCACCAAGCAGTGTGAGGTGCAAGTTGACCTTATAGACTAGTGTGTCTTTGTTGCTTTTAGGAGTGTCTTGAGAATTTAGCTTATCACAGCTGCCTGAACTTTGTCTTGAAGTTTGATGATTTCAACTACGGAAATTTACTAAATGGCTAGTTGTTCTGCAAGTCAGGTCTTCAGGGCATACATCTTACCTCCCTACTACCTCTTGTATGAGATTTACTTGGTCCGTTTGGTTTGGTTTGGTTATTTTACCTTTTATCCATTCTTCAAAATGGTGAAGATACTTTATTGACATCAACTTTGACTTGAGGCTAAACTTTGAAATGTGACTCTCTCTAAAACAGGAAAAATGAGAAGTGGACCTGTTGTTTGGGACATCGGGAGTAATGAACCCTCAGGAGTCCACTTATAAAATAGAAAAGATGTAGCAACATTAGCTTATATTCATGCCAAATTTTGAATTTGATTCATTGCACATAACAAAAAATCAGATACAATATTTACATGGTTTAGCTATTTGCCTACATCTGTTGTTGTTGTTGGGTTTTGTATGTACATAGTTTGTGAACTCGGTATACATAGAAGAAGGGTGACATCATATATCAACAATAGAAAAGCAGGGGAATATTCTCTACCTAACCGTCTTAGCTGTGATTAGTAACAATTTTTTAGTACCTAGTCTGTTTTACTTTACGATACGAAATAGACTCCATGTCCAACTGGTTTGCGGTTCTTCAAAAATACTCCAGAAACCAAACCAAAACAAACTCAATATACCCCACACAGAAGTAGCGTCTAGGAAGGGCAGGATGTATCTATATCCTGATTGGTAGGTTGGCTATTTTCTTGAAGACTTTAAAACATACTCTAGAAAACAACAAAGAAAGAATCTTTAGATTTTCTCCGTATGATGCGCAACTGAAGCAAGGCCTCTTTCACTGTTTATGCAGATTTTAGTTTTTAGCTTTAGATATATTTAGTCTCATGTGAACGAAAACTGCAGGAATATGTCGATCATTCATCTACTCTTTTCAAATTCTATGTCTTGGGGGAAAAGGTATTCTATGCAGTCAAGAATTCAACACCTAATGCTGATGTCTTGAAGAACACGGCTGAGAAAAATGGATTCAAACCTCTACTCTTCGACAGGTACTCCATCTGATGTCCGCCATTGCTTTTGGTACACAGGACAGAACAAAATTCATTTTTTTGTCCCACCTAAATAGTTGGAACAAAAATCAAGGAGATAGGACAAGATTGGTAAATTACTAAACTACCCATCGCAAATTAAAACCCTAAAACCTTGCACCTACCTCACTCTCGCACGTCATCCAGTCCCGTCTGTGTACCAAATGCAAATGCTGAATCAAGCCAAGAGCATTTATCGACATGTCCATGGTTTTTCGCAGTTTAAAATCTCTGCCTACTGATGGAAACAAGAAGCCTTCTCCTAAGTTGGAAGAGCAGCAGGATCTTGATATTGGGCTTGTTACTGATGCTGCAAATTACCTTGGAAGGGTTCTTGATCTGACCATATTTGGCTTTGATGTTGTTGTGAGTCCCCCCTCCATATATTTCAAATAGTTATTTTCCTGCAAATATGCAAAAAGAACACTGCATTTTCCAACAACGAGCCATATTCTAAGCAAAACGTCCAAGCAAGATGTCGCTTTTGCATCTTTATATCAATATTTTGTTCGAACCATTCAAGCTTGGACATTGTAGTGTTGCTTTTGCATTTTCACAAGAATGATGGTTGATTTGAAATGAGAATCCAATTACAATGGTTCACAACGTCAATGACTCATGTCACAAACAAGTTAGCGCATCTCCAACAGGTTCTCTATACTTTCTCTAAAATAAAGAATCAAAAGTTAAAATCTCTAAACAAAATTACATTCAACTTCAACATATTCTCGATTTTAGAGATTTCAGTATTAATTATATTATTAATTTATTCTATTGTTTGTTCATCCCAATACACTTTTTAATAAAACTTTATATAAACTAATAATAGTTTAATCCATTTGTGGGAATGAATAAAAAAATAATTTCTCCCACCTACCATCAAGTTCTAGAGATTTCTCCAAACTTGGAGTTTTCTCTTATTTTATTTATTATAGAGAATAATATAGTCTCTTAAGTGAAATATAGAACAAAATCTTTATTATAGTATAGAGAATCTAATGGAGATGCTCTTACTAACCATTTGAACTATTGTACTTGGCTTTCGTACAAACGAAAAGCATCCTAGTTTGCTCAAAATCGCTTATTCTCGTAAAGTAAAATGCGACAAAATTGTCTTGGTTCCTATTTAGTGTAACAAAATATTTTTTTCTCAATTAATGCAACAAAGTTTCAAAATTTTCTATTGTGTACCAATTTGACCGATAACCTGTTGATCTTATGATATTTCATGACGTGGATGCAAAGTTTGTCGTCCTTTGCTGTAACCCTTTTGTCAACCTTCCGTAAAATGGGTATCAACGTCATCAAATGTTACAAGATCAACAGGCAACCAGTCAAAATGGGTTTAAAATAGGGAATTTTGAACATCGATAGTGAAATTTTTTTGTTATATTGATTGAAAGTTTTGAAATTTTGAAAAAAAAATAGGGAATTTTGAAACTGTTATATCGATTGAGAAACTTTTTTGTTACACTAAGTAAGAACTAAACCAAACTTTAGTAACTGTAGGTGTCAGGTCCAGTTTGTATACGACTCAAATAATCCCATGGCCCCTAGTAGATCCTCCAATGGCCCTTGGGGGAACTTTGAAGCATTTTGCTCTTATAAACAATGGTGTTTTTTTTTACAGTTTCATAAGAATGATGGTTGGTTTACCGTGGAAAACATCAAGTACAATAATTCAAAAAGTATTACAAGGTGATATATTTTCAATTTACTTGTGGTTGAATTCGTGGCATGTTATCTATGTTTCAGATTCAGGAGGGGACACGAGATCATGTCATTGTGGACGTAAATTACTTGCCATCTTTCAAAGAAGTGCCCGATGAAATCGCGATTCCTGCATTTTGGGATGCTATCAAGATGAAATATCTGTCGAAAAAGGGCAAAAACGGCTAATAGTTTATCGATGTATGCTCCACAACCGTGCAAGTGTAAACTAGACATGATTTAGCTTCAGTTATTTGAACATTTAGGAAGTTTGTTACTCTTCTATCCATGAATAGTTTCACACTCCTGCTACAAAAGCATGTGTTCTTGAAGAATCAAAATAGAAAATGTTGTCCTTCAAGATCCAATAAGCAGCAGAACAAACTGAGGAGCATTTGGAACCTTTCTTTATCAGAGCTCAAGGCTTTCAATACCACTAATTCTATAAATATTGGGATTGTTTGTTTACCTCTTAATAGTTCTATTAAGAGGCAACTTTTGAATCGTTAAGAGGTGAATCTTGTTTGGCAAAAAAAAGTCTCTTAATGGTTCTAAAACCCTTTGAATGATTTTGTATCCTGGATCTCCCTTAATCATTAAGAACCCTAATTTCGTTGTACATAATTACCAAACAATTATATTTCATTTTGCATTATATCATAAGAGCCTCTAATCATTCTTGACCACTTAATCATTTTACACCAAACCATTCAGCAATTGCCAAATAGCCCTTAAAATATATTTAGGGGTTATTTATCCAACGCTTACCAGGCAATAAGTCAACACGTTCACTTAATTTATTGGGTAAGATTTTAGTTCATTAAAATGACATCGTATACAACAATAAGTCGTTACTCTCACTTACCGAGAATCTTATCAAGTTACTTTACATTATCGATAAGAGTCATATGCAACAATTTAGAACCTTCTAAATTATTTGAATTGAGAAGTCTACTTATAGTTTTATCACCTACTTTTTTATTTGAACATTAACTTCAATACCCTCTATTATTTGTTGAGGCCCATGGTTACCTAAAAACTTTTTCTTTTTTTTTTAATCTTGGGTGTTTGGGTCATCTTATGCTCACCATTACTAATCTCACAGGACGCTGTAGTATAGTACAGGCATGAAAATCCTTGATCGCCTTGGAGCGACTTACTTCGACTAATTCAATAGGGATCTAGGAAACAACCAGGAAAATCCACAATGGTCTTGTAAGAACTCAAACCGGTGACCTTTTTGGGAAAAAAAAACTTACGACATTCTGAACACAAGGAACTATTTTCTGTCCAAGCCAATGTGTACACACCTTGACTATCGCATCCTTAGAGAATCTCGAATAGGCGACCATTATGGGAAAAAAAAACTTGCAACATTGTGAACACAAGGAATGGACACTCGTTTTCTATGTTAGCCGTGAGTGTCATGACCAACTTACTTACAGGTATCTCAACTGATCTCATGAAACTTTAAAAAATCCTCCATAGGCCATAGCCTTGGATGGACTGAAGACCGCAACTTTAGGGGAAAAGTTACGACATTGTGAACACGAGGAATGACACTCAAAATCGGAACCACGCCATGAACACTCATTTTTTGCAAGAAAATTATGAACATCGGAGCCGTTAAAACAGCAAATACCTAACTAGTAATCACAACTTCATAACGTCCAGCGCTGCAACAAATTCGAGGGTGTTTTTCTTAACGAAAAATAGCAGCATCTTCGCGTGTTCAAAACTAAACAAGCCTACATGGATATATAGTCCAAAACATACATATATCGCAATTAAAGCCTTTCAATCAGTGATTTCTCCTTCTTCCTCTGGTTCCTCGAGCAACACTTCACCATTACATTTTCCGTCATCACATCTGACATCAACCGCCTTCTCGGAAACGTTGCAAACAGAAGAAGTCGTCTCTGAAGCCACATCAGCATTTGTTTCTCTCACAATTACAGATGGGAATCTCAAAGACTCGTGTCGCTCCCCAGTGAAGAAAGAGTTGGCTGCTATGAACCTGAAAACCTGCAAAAGATGGGTTTTGTCTCTCTTAATGTCTCGAGTCAAAAGTTTTTGCAAAAGCGATGGTTCCCGCTGTTTTGGCTTATGTGGATCTTGGCCTCCTGGCCTTGTTTTCTTGGTGATTCGGTCATCATCATCCTCAAGTTGTGTTCCTCTTTTGTTACGGAACTTCTTCCCCTTCTTATACTGTTCCCTTTCGTGTTTTTTCCCTCTTGGGATTTGTTTCTCGGAGACAGATAAATAATATGACGGAATATCAGCAACTTCACAACCCAACTCAGCCTGTTTTGTCAATATTTCCTTCAATTGCTGCAAAACAAAAAAGTATGTGATCACATTGTTCGACTTCTTTTAGTTTCATGTGTTCTTTTGGGTTTGGGGGGGATGACAATGTTGGAGGACTAAAACAGCAAGGAGTGACGATAAGCAATAGTTGCTCTCTGTCTTCCTGGGGAAAAGATCATATGAGAACCACAAAAATGTTGAGAACTGTGAGAACCAATCCTAACCATTCAATGAGAGTTCCATTTTACTCTAGGATTCAATGTGGTATTTATTGTTTATGTATGTGTGTGTGTGTTTCATATATGAAGCATATGAACATGTTCTGTTTCACATGTGAAACAATTATGTCCGTTTTATATATGAAACAACACTGTACCTTTCGCATGTGAAACTGGTTGTCACGGTTCTCAAACATATTTATGGTTCTCATTTGATTTGCTACCTGTGTTTCCAAGAAGAGATGTATGATACGAATTTTGAGGTAAATGGAACGATCCAAAAAACATCAATAGCTCCACTAATCTTTATATTATATCCTCCCTCCATGAATATTGCAACATTTGATTTGGCACGATTTTATAAACTATTTGGCTACTTATTGAACATCTAAAAGACCCTTCAACAAAGATAAAAGAATATTGTAGCCCCAACTTTAATGTAATAATGTATTTGTAATGACAGATAATAATTTTTAATTTTAACTTGGAACCTTTCCGAATATGGAATTGTTGCAGTTTTCTTTTGAAAGAGTCATGCAACACACTTTGGTCCAACTCTTATTTTGTGCAACGTACTTTCAAAACCTTGTGATATATCAAATATTTAGAACAAAGTACGTTAAAGAATAGGAATTCGACCAAAGTGCATTGCATTTTCATGTATTACTAGTAGATGTAAACTAGGTACCTAAATGTTACAATTGTCATATTTGAGTTACCAAAATGAAAGTTCTGAAAATACATTACACAAAGTAGGAAACAGACCAAAGTACGTTATATTTTCATGCATTATGATGTGTAAACCAGATACCTAAATGTTTGAAATGTCACATTTAAGGTACCAAATGAATGTTATGACAATACGTTGCACAAAATACGAACTGACCCAAAGTACTTGCATTTTCATGCAATTTACCCTCTTGTTAAAAAGAGAAGTGTTATAGTTTAGATTGAATGGAGAAAGTATAATACATAAAAAATAGAAGCTTATGAGGTGCGCTTTATGAAACAGACTTATTCAAATTATCCCATTGAATACAGTTACTACCAGACAAGCAATGTACCTGGCGACGTAACATGGCTCCTTGGTTGGTGACATCAGACAATGCCTGTTCTTTCTTACACTTCTGCAAGATGGCAAGATAAGCAGTCAGGTGTTAAGAACACAGACAATGGAGATCGAACTGATGGTTGAAAATCTAACCTTCTCCACATTCGCAGATGAGGGGTAGTGCTTCTTACGAGCCTCACGCCACTGCTTAACTTCTTGCTCGGTGTACTTCACACAATACCTTAAAGATAAATGACAGGTTCCCAGTCAAGAGAAAAAATGAAAGCATATTTCAAAACTCCAATTTCATGGCTTTGGATTAGAGAGCAAGTAAAAATAATGTTCGAAATTGTAACTAAATCAGCTGCAATTTCAATTTTTAATCCTTGAATCCAAGTTTTCTTGAACACTACTTCACAGAAATTTCATAAAATGAAAAAGCGCATAGAGGTCTTAAGCAATCATTTTGTATCATGCAGGGAATACAGTTATGCACCTTTTTTTTTTGGCAAAACTTCTCATGATGCTAAGATTTGTCTTGGAATCCAGTTACCAACGAATAAGAACGTTCTTTTTCCAGTATTTGAAAATAGATCACATGATTATTGTGTAGCGTGATTGAAGCAATATCATGATAGATGTAGTAGTACAATCAGCTAAATCACTGGAAAGTACAAATATTGAAGGGCATAGAAATTACTTCTTTTCAGAATGAATCTGATTGGTGGAATTTCGTGGACCAGAATTTACTGCAGCATTATTGTTACCCTCTGTTATTCAACAATCAAAACATATAAAGATTAGTGAACGTGGTGCTGCATCATGAGTGGTCTCGTCCCATTTGCTAAAAAAATTAACAATTAACCAAGCATGGTTTTACAAAGAAATATTGGACATACAATGCAAGAGAGGTGATAAACGGAAGGAAAATGTACATTGTGTTGATAATTAATGAATTGTAGCAGCAAATGTTAATAATCACACGCAGACAACGCCATTCAGCCACACAATAAGGGGGTGCTTGGTTGGGTTGTGATGAATGGGAGCGGGAGTGAATAATGATGTTTGGTTAAATATAGTGAAATGAGTGATTACTTAAAAAGTGTGAATCATCAATATCCTAGTAAATTGAAAGGAATGACTTTTCATTCCTCAACATTATCATTCTTTATCATAACCTGTTTCCATTCCCTAGAAATGAACGAAGCGCCTCCTCAATGTCTCAGAAAAAACATGCCCGATAATTAGCCATAGCCAAAACATGAGTCAGGCAAGCAAGAGAACTATCCGGATGGAGCTTCTGAGAGTAAACCAGATGGAACTAACCAACCTGGTCATTACCAAAAGGAAGATAAATCGCTTGTACATACCATTCTCCTGAATCGCATCAATCTCCTCAAGCATGAATTCTACCTGGTTTGCAGCACACAAAGTGGTATTTGCATACAATTATTCTATTTTTCATGTTTGCATACAATTATTTTATGTTTCATGTTACACCAAATGGTATTCTCCTGAATCACATCAATCTCAGTCATATTTAAATAACTTCTCATGTTTTATTATTTATCACTATTAAAATGTATTTGCATACAATTATTTTACGTTTACATAACAATTGCAAATAAATAATATCCTTGTAATGGTGCATATAACATGTGAACATTTGCGGCTTCATGTCATATGCATGTGTTGGTTATTTTTCAATTATTATTAAACTATGCTAAGCTAATACTATCCACAACACTTTGTTTAGAATAGCTTAAGTTTATCGTTCAATATTATGAAACAACACTTTGTTTAAACTAGTTTATGGGGTTAAAGTGGCTATTTCTGTCATTCAACTGTATCAATCAGACGCATACCAAATAACATTCTGAATTCAGCAATAGTTCTATACGAAACCTCTAAACTCAGAACTCTTAAACATGTAGCACTTGTGCTTTCATTTTCTTTTTCTTTTTCATCTCAGTTTTTCACAAAGTGAGCTAAATCTGGTTCAAATGACATCCAAATGTAACTGAATCCTTTTGTGATCCAGATAAGATGGAACATAGATCACAGTTGCAGAAAGATTACTTAACCTCAGGTTAAACAAATATGAAAATACGTATAAAACGAGGATGTGCTTAGCCTATAGGTATGTATTATTGTCCTATTTCAGTGACAATAGTCTTTTTATTTTTGTGATAAATAATTTGCATCCCTAAAACATTAAAATTTAAATATTTAACAATGATATTTATTTTTATTGTTCGATCTATTTAGCTTATTTGCTTTAAATCATTGACAATTCGATTCAAAAAGAAACAGAGAATTATCTTTCTTATCCACGACTAACTTGAAGTTTTTAAGAACAATCACGCATTGCAAGTTCTGATAGAACTAAAACCCAGAGATGTTTTGAATTTGCAGTGCTTAAAGTTGTCTACTTTGAATAAGAGATTTTCTCGCAGCTAAATATTTTGCATACACACAAACACAAACAATAAAGATAAGTCATCAAACATGTGTGTGCACTCATACATACATGCAATCATACACACACATGCACATACATACATGGATGTATGAATGTATGTATTATGAACCCCAAAACAAGATGTGTAGAGTAAAATTCATCGTAATAAAGCAAGAGAAACTGCGTGTTCATGTACATCAATGAAATAAAATAAAAGCTGATGTTGGCGACAAAGATATGCACAAAATTGTGCATCAACTATGAGGGGTTCACCTTTATTCGTATTGCCGTTGTAGGTCCCAAACTTCTCTTTCACGTGTTTTGCATGCTGAAACTGGGACTTGAATCTACACAAACTCAAGCTCTATGTGAATTAACAATCCAACTAGCGAACCATAACAAAGATATTGCAGTGCTTATCAAACATACCCCTTGTGTGAGAGATCATTCCTTTTATGCCCTGTGAAGTTCTTGCGTTGAGACTCAGTCCATTTGGCATTACCGTTGGCAGGTATGTTTCCATGATTGTCCTGTTGATAACATCTAAAATGTAAAGCCAATATATTGCTCTACCACCAAAAAATATGGTAAACCAAGTAAATCCCAAGAGAGCTTGGTTTCCAATTATGAAACCACAACACCGCATCCTCTCTCTGAGGATTTATTAGAGCAGAGACAATATAACTTTAAGTATTAAAAACGTAAAGATACAACACATGCATCAAATTATCAGTCATAAAAGTCTATCATATTTCTATCAGTACAGACTGACAGAAATGATACCTCAAAATTCGCGAGAGTGGGGCACGGGTTCTGTTTTTGAACTGAAGCAGAAGGATGGGGTAAAAGCAAGCTCCCTTGCTGACCCGTACTGGCTATCTGTCTTGAAGCGTTCACATCCATCATTGGTGCAACAAATCTTTGTTGTCCTTGATTAACAGGTTGCCCAGGACCATTTGAATTAGCCATGCCAAACAACTGATTCTGAGGATAGCTGTGATTTTGAGGACCCATACCTTGAGCAATCTGGTGCTGGAAAATGGATAATTATCAGAGACAGATTAGACAATATTGGGGCTCCGTAGTTTTCATATTCCATTTAACAGGATGTGCAGGTAAAGATAAATTAACATTTGATTCTAAGTCATTGTAATAGCATATGTAAGTGAAAAATCAAAATGCAAGCATATAAAAGGGTAAATTGAGTTTATTAAACTAGACATTTATGGCCAGAAAGCCTATGTGTTTTTCTTTATCTCACTATGCTTGAAATGTAATTGCCAACTCATTTATTTCCAATTACAACATATATTACTACTCCTTCCATCGAAGAAAAGATGTCCAGTTCCAATTTTGAAGTTGCACCTTCTATTTTGAAATGTGAAAGTGGCATGGATGTTTTTACCGTTTTACTCCAAACCATTTGATTAATGTAATACACTGTTATACTTTAATATGAGAGTTGATTTTTGATCTACATCCAAAGTCTGAAATAACAACTTTAAAATTTAGTTAAAAATCAACTAATCTTAAACTCAAACGTAATATGTAATGTTCTTCTTTCGAGTAGGAGTAACAAGCAACAGATGGAAAAACAAAGAAAAGGAGAAAAAAGAAGGGTAATACTAAGTTAATTCTTATATGCAACGAAAAATTGCAGTTAACCCCCTGCACACTGCATTATTTGCCTTCGGCAGATGGCTCTCATATGCACCCCAAAATTGCACTCTATAAAGTGAAACTTCTATCTTTGTGGAAGGTTGTATAAAGACTTTTCTACCCTCGAGTCCACAAGGGGTTTTCTACAAAATTCTCATGTTGACCTTCTCTCATCTAATACCTCCAAACAAGTTACAGTATTACCCAACCTAATGCCAACACTGAACATCCCTCACTCCAATTACTCTCATTAGCGTATTGTTTTAACCAACCCACTAAACAAGGTCACTAGAACGTGTTTCTTTTTCTTGTAACACAACCCAAAAGAGCACAATTTTATTACTCTGAAGCCACAACATTACCTCCTTCCTCTGAGGATTTATCAGAGCAGTGATATGCAGTATGTTACTACATCATGGAAGATAGGTAGAAAGGTTAAGAGGCTAATGATACAATACATGTACAGAATTTTCAATCACAAAAGTTAAATAATTTTTGCATTAGTAATTCAGGATAAATAGATTGTTGTACACCAAAAGGCTGTACAGACGGACAAAATTGACAGCAGGAAACTTATGAGTGGAAATGAGGTTTGAAACTTATGAGTGGAAATGAGGTTTTGTGCTTGATGTGTTTGAACTAAGACAGAAGAATGGGGATAATAGGGAGTTCCCTTGTAACTGTTGGCCCATATTAGGTAACTGCTTTGAAGCATTAACATCCATCTATGGTGAAAGAATCTATGTCACCCTTAACTTGCTTGTCAAAGGAACAATGGAATTAGGCATACTTAAACTGCAGATATGAGAAAGCTGGGATACCATACGTGAACAATCTGGTGCTGAAAACATGTGTTCTTCTATTTCATTACGCTTAAAATTTAATTGCCAGCTCATTTATTTCCAAAAGACCCCACATTACTACTCCCTCTATCCAAGTTTGAACATTTGAACCTTTTAATTTCAAAATTGAAAACGGCGTGGATGGTTTTACCAATTTACTTTTTTAGTTTCAAAATTTTTTAGTCGAAATACATTGCTAGAGCTTTTAATGTACTTTTTTTTATCTACAAACAAAACAACCAAGATAAATTTGAAGCTAAAGAGACCTCATTTTACAAACATCAAATGCGCACTCCTTTTTGGGTGGTGCCATGGTGGGAGTGATAGGTAACTGATGGTTAACTAAGCATAAAAGAGAAACTGAGAAGGGCGTGTATATTTCATAATGTTAAGTAGAAAAATTGCATTTAACCCCCGACACTATTTGCCTTTGGTATATGATTTTAGTTTAACCCAGAAATCTGCATGTAACATGCTACAAACTTCAACTTCTATCTTTGTCAAAGACTCTGTGTAAAGACTCTTTTGTCCTAATGTCCATGATAGTTTTTTCTTTGCAAATTCTCGCTTGAACTTTCTCTTCACTTGTATCACCAAATGGTTGACCATTACCTGTGAGCGACCTGATGCCAAAATCTGTTAAACCCAACTCCCATTAGTCAATAATTTTATGCGACCTACCCAGCATGGCCACCAGAACATGATAATATAATTTTCCCCCTTATAACGTAAGCCCTAAAGAGCTCCTTTTTTATTTCGAAACCACAAGACAGCTTCCTTTCCTGAGGATTTATTAAGGCAGTGATATGTAGTCCATGTGTCATATCGTGAGAGTTAGCTGGAAATGCTAAAAGACTAAACATATAACACATGCATGAAAGTTTCAATCACCAAAACCCATCCATCTTTTAGCATCAAGAATTAAGAATTCATAGATTACTACACACCAAAAATCTGCACATTATGACAAAATGGTACCTGGAAATTTGTGACAGTAGCAAGTGCTTGCTGTGTTTGAACTGAACCAGGAGCATGGGGTAAAAACGGGTTCCCTTGTAATTGCTGGCCCATATTAGGTAACTGTTTCGAAACATTGCCATCCATTGGCGAAACAAATCTCTGTTGCCCTTGATTGGCATGTTGGACAGGGCCATTAGCATTAGACAACCCAAACTGCTGATTTGCATGAAAGCCTGGATTTTGATGACCCATAACATTCGCAATCTGGTTCTGGAACATGGGAAAATTAACAGGAGGACATTGGGTATAATCACGGTTTTGTAATTGGAGAAGCTGACAGATATTTTGGATTGTATTCTGCAGAATGACTTGCTCATTAGGTAAACCAACATTTTGGTTGTATGCATTAGGATTCATGGAATTGTGTGCAAAGAACTGGCCCTGTTGCTGTTGAGAAGGATTAAACTGGTTTACAGGAAAGGGATTAAAATTCTGCTGTGGATTGAATCCACCAATACCATTGGGGAATTGACCCATAGTATTTTGCAAGGGAAAGGGCTGATTAGGGAAATTCATGAAACCAGATGGAGCTACAATTGGCCTAGTATTGGGATATAATCCTCCAGCATTACCATTGCACAGTTGCTGATTAATGACTGAGTTAACCTGTTCATCATCCAACACATTTAATTAGCTCAACAGAAAAATAAACTTCACAATAAAAAAGTGATCTTCCCTCTGTTCCAAGACGTTAACTCACATGTTTTAAAAAAATATATCTTAAAGAATGTGCCAAACACAAAAAGAAACTTCATAAGAAATCCTAACGAACAGAACAAACTAGGTGTAAACCTCGTCACTCTATCCGTATCAGCTTCTTATTCCAAAAGTAACGGGTTCAACATCAACATCAACATCAAAATTAAAATGCAAATTCAGTTTTTCGTAGCACATTAGCAATACGTTCGCAAAAGATAAAAGTAAAAAGGGAAGCAGAAGACCTGTTGAACTGCTGAAGCAGCTGCTGGATTTTGATTGGAATTGTGATGAGGGTTCATGATTAACCCTGAAAATTTCACAAATCTCTTCCAAAATGTTCTTGAATAATTAGGTCATTCGGGGACGAAAGGGTTTTACAGAGGGTTTGTGTTTTGCTGGGAAGCATTATATGAATTTTAGTATTTACTATTATTTATTTCTTTATTATTATCTCCACCGGCACAATTTGGATAAAGAATAAGAAAATTAATTAAAATAGTTATTTTTAGACGTTAGTTTTCGCTCTTAGGGGTCGTTTATTAAACACTTACTTGTATAAATTTCTTTATTGGATGAACATGAGAAGGGCCAAGAATCTTACCGAGTAAGAGCGATGAGAAGGATGGAGAGTCTTACCTGGTAAGTGAGGATGACGACTCTTACTCAGGTAAACGCTTACCTTGTAAATTGTTGCATTCGATATGCTTTGATGTACTAAAATCTTACGCATCTAAATAAATTATAGTGTTGACTCTTATTGGTAATCGCTTACCGGGTAAGCATTTGGGTAAACGGCCCCTTAGTCATCTTCTTTCAAAAATTATAAAAATAACCATAGATTTGTAATATGCTAAGTTTGAAGCTAAACGATAAAAAAAATTACATTTTTGGCCTTTGTCCACAATATCCTAAGTTTGTAATTGTGGGCCTAGCACCTGAACTTCAGAAATCTACAATTTCTACTCAAGTTCGCAATTACAAACCTGCCATATTGCGGACCTACACATGTTTCGCCTGGATGAAACCCTAATCCAACCTTATCTATTGACCGTATCCAGATCTGCAATTTTGACCTTTGACCTCTGCAATTTTTTAAAAAATTATCATTTTTCACATGTTTTATACATGTTTAATTGCGGATCTGCACTGTTTTTTTTTTCCCAATAAAGCTTGAAAATTGATTGAAATTTGTTCAATGATTGTACTATCTTTCCATTAACCGATTGATGGTTTGTTAGATGAATTAAATTCATCTGATCTATAATTGCAACAATAAAAGGATGAAGATATACAGAAAAACGATAACAACTTAATTTTTTTCTTATCATATATTTTTGTTTCTTCAATTCATTTGAAAATGAGTTCCGATGTTGAAAAAATTAAGTTACATATTTGTTCTGGTGGTCAATGGGTGCAAGCAATTGATAGGTGGGATTATGTTTGTTCTCGTGATACGATGCACCATGTTGTTCAATTGAACGCAAACATTACATATCAAATTTTGGTCGCTTATGTTCATAGAAATGTGGAATCGAAAGTTCTATTTGTGTAACCAGGTTAGCGTACAAGTATGATGCTTCAATTTTTGAGTTAGATGACGATGAAGATGTTGGTGGTTTCATAGAATTCACAGTCGAGTCAAATAAACCGCCGACACTTTATGTGTATGTCGATTTTTCGATGTGCGATGGAGGAGATGTCGATGGTAGTTCAAACATTGAAAACCATCAAATCCAAAATGAGACTCAGACTCAAGGAATGTATGTTCCTCAACTCGAGTATGAGTCTCAAATCTAGCGCTGTTATGGCACCGCCTTTCTTCCAGAGCATTATGGTCATAGTGACTATTACCCAGAGTTTGTTCAGCAGCATCAGAAGAAGAAGAAGACGTTTTGCTGGAGTCAATTATGACGAAGCCCATGTTTTCACATTGGGGTATATCTTATATTGATATATCATAAACGGGTGAAGATGAAGATGAAGATGAATAAGGTGTAGAAACAATAACTCCTTCTAATATTTGGTGGGATAGATGATCTTTTTTATATGCCTCCCCTCCTTCAAACCCTAGAGCCCTCTATCACGATCAACGAGGTTGTATCTTATAATGATAGTGGCAGAATAGTTGTTGGTTAGTTATTTGATATGAAAGAAGAAATGATTATACAGTTCAGAATTAAGTTTATTGAAGAGGGTTTCAAGTATAGAATAGTGAGGTCTTCAAAACCAGATTGTTGATTTTCACTCTCAGTGATTTGATGATGATCATTTTTACCTAACAAAAAAGGACTTAGTTCTTATTGTAAATCTCAAGGAACAAGTATTCTTCAAGAAGACACAACTCACACCACAAGAACCTTTAGTAATGTAGAAGATAAAGCTGAAGATAGAGACAAGCAATTCGTGATGTGCTGTGGTTTTAGTAATAACAAGCTGTCTACAAATATGTGTGAAGTCTGCTCAAGATTCAGCAAACACAGAAGAAACTTTAGAGTTATTCTAGTGTCAGCAATCAAATGAATTTTGTTGATCAAGATTAGTTTTTGTCTTATCCCCTTGCACACAAAGGACAAACCCGTAACTCTCAAAGTAAAACACTCGTATAGAGTCACCCTATTGTCTCCAAACGTGCTTAATTACTTTGTGAATGACCACGGTTCATATACGACCAAAAGCCTGTATATCTGAAGACAAAAGACAATCTTACCTCTAGAAGCTTGCCACGTGTCTTGTACCATCTGACTTGCATTTAATGCAATGGGTATAAATAGTCATGGAGACTCTCTTCTTCATATATCATGATATACCCATGTTGGTCCCAACCGGATCTATAAGAGTTTATAGGTAACAGTTTGTAGAAGGGGGGATGAATACAAACACAACAGCTTTCACTTTTAAAAACTTATATTGATAAAGAAGATTCATACAGATTTTTACAGATTGTTTGCAGAAAAGATAAGATACAGAACTCACCTAAACAATCAAAGAAACACACAAATTACAAATAGCAAGAAGAAAAGACTTGCTACAAGAAATAAGTTAAGAAGTATTGTGCTCTTCACTTGTTACAATGGAAGTCCTTCTCTTAGATAGAGAGTTAGAGGGAGGAGTATCTTCTTGAGTAAGATCTTCAAGGCAAGGATGCTTGTATATGTTAGAGAGGATAATTGAGAAGAAAGAACTACTCAACTATTTATACACATTGCATTAAATGCAATTCAGAAGGTACAAAACACGTGGCAAGCTTCAAGAGATGAGTTTTTCCTTTGTTGCAGATATATAGTATTTGGTTGTATATGAATAGTCGTCTTTCATAAAGTATGTAAGCACGCTTGAAGACAATAGAGTGACTCCGTATAGTACTTTACTTTGAAAATATGGGTTTTGTCCTTTGTGTGCAGAAGGACAATACAAAAACCAATATTGTTCAACAAGATTCATTTGATCGCTGACACTGGACTGACGTTGGAGGTCTCATCAATGTTCGTTGAATCTTGAGTAGATTTCACACTTGTGTAGACAAGCTTGTTATCTTGAGTAGATTTCACACTTCCTCTTCCCACATGTACTCTTCAACCCTACCCCTACACTTCTTCAAACCTTTCACTCTGCATCCACCCATTTCTTCGTATAAACTCATATGAACCACAAGAAAGGTGGGCATAAATCAATAGCCAAAAAGCACTTTGGTTCATTGAAATTAAGAAGTTCTTTCATTCACTTCAAATTTGTAGTAAAAGCACCTTCCCCCAAGGAGCAGATGAAATATATGGGTCTTGTGGTTGTCAATGACCTTGGTGGACAATATGAAGACAATTTTCATGATGTTCAAGCAGTAAGAACTTGCTAAATCAGTTGATGTTCAATGCCTTTGGGGGTATTACTATTAAAATTCTATGGTTTAAGGCTTAACTGATGATAGCAAAGTCTTTTGTTTATTCTACAATTTGAAAAAGTAATGTTATGTTTGTTTGGATTAATATGAAATCTTGTTTTGAACTAGTAATGTTATATTTGTTTGGTATGAAATATGCAGTTATATTTGTAAAGTAATTATTTTATTCAGATATCTTCCAAACGACTATATTTCATTTAGTACTAAATCTTACAAAGGGTTAAAATGGTAATTTGTTGTCATTCAGAGAACAGTTACCAAATAATTTTTTTCATTTAGCACTTAACCATTCTGACCACTTAACCATTCTACACCAAACTATTAAGCAACTGCCAAACAGCCCCTTAGAAGATGTTTACAGACAGATCTTTGTTCACAATCTGAGAAACCTGGATATTGAGAAAGTATTGGGAATTAGAAGAGAAAGTCAGGCGTATAAACAATAATATATGTACTTCATGCAAGCCAAAAGTAGACCTATTCATCATCTCAAAACCAATCACAGAATTGTTTCTATAAAGAAGGTTGATGCCAAATAGTTGTACAGTTATGGTATCCAGTCTTCTATGTCATTGATCAAGATGGTCGAGAATGGAGTTTTTGCAAAGTAGATTTTCTTAATCTGAACCTAGAAGACTTGGAATTTATGTATCACGAGTTCATGAAGGTGTTATAATTGCTTTGGAGGCCATCAAAAAGTTCTTAAGGCGTTATGTCAAATTATCTTCAGTAATTGATATTCAAATGGGCTTAGAGAGTAATAAGGAGAAGGTAAACATGCTGAAACCAAATCAAGTGTTTGAAGATGTTGATGGATATCCTCTGTTTTGATCCTTGAAAATCCTGAATTTAGAGTGGTGTATAAGAATTTAGAGGGTGCAAAAAGATATTTAAGATTTGCTAAACTGTCAAAGTGCTCTAATGGTACAATTAAAGTTATCAAAAGACAGTTGGATTGTAGAAGATTGAATGATGATAAAGCTACTGAGTCTGAACAACTTAATATTAAAGAAAGGTTTTTGCTGATCAAAGCTTTGAAGATGTTTGATGAAAAGCTAGAGTTTAGAAATTTGGTGAGAAGATTGGAAGCACATCTTGGATTAAGAAGAACAAGATTTACAATATGCTGAAGCTTGAATCCAAAGGGGAGAATGTTAAGTTCTAATTTCATGTTGTATTCAAGCCTTTTTGTTGTAAATACCCTTTGGGTATAAATAGTTATCTTGTATTTGTTTTTGTAACTCTTGCATTCATTTGTAACATTTGAAGAATGTATCACTTTAAGCTTTCAAATATTCTCTTCCTACATATCTTGAATCTGCCATTGTTGATTTCTTGAATTCTTGATAATATGGTGATTGAACGATTAATCTGGGGTTGTCAATTCCAACGAAACATTGAGGTTGAAATCAGGATATGCAATCGACGGCTAGCTGCCTAGCTCAATGGACAAATAAAAACTAGGCCTTGAGAATCCACCTTATAGGCTGCTAGTTCAAATCTCTTCAAGACCACTGAGAATTCTCCTATCTCTTATCTTTAAGGCCTCATGTGATCAATGAATTCTAAGGGCGTCGTCTACCAAACGCTTACTTGGCTAACCGCTTACCAAGTCACATTACCTCATCAGATGAATATGGTAAGGACCAAGAATCTTACTGGTAAGAGCGAGACAAGGACCAAGAGTCTAACCCGGTAAGGGCAACGACTCTTACCATGGTAAGCACTTAGCGGGTAAATTGTTGCATGCGATGTCGTTTTGGCAGACTAAAATCTTGTCCGGTAAGTATAAAATAGTATTAAATTTTATTGGTAAGCACTTACCATGTAGGTATTTGGTAAACGACTCCTAAATCACTTTTTTTTTTAATTTTACATCTTGTTATTGGTTAACTTTCTCATTTCAGTTCTGATATCCTTTTATTTAGGGTTATTTCAATCTTTTTGAAGGTTTAATTATACTTTAATTAATATTACAGATTGATTGAACGATGATAAATAAATAAATAAATAAAACTATTAAATTTCTACTGTATATTATCTTAAACGTCTTATAAATTAAAAAACAAAAATATCGTGAAATAACAAAATAACATAAAATCTCCTCCAGGATTTGAATAGTCGTGATTAATTTTGTTATCATTAGAAAAAAGGAGAAGAACAACAAGAGAAGAGTCGGTAGACGAATTCGATTGAAGAGATAACAAGGGTTTAGGAATTTAAACACATTCAAGAACCATTTGAGCAAGAAATCAAGTGTAGATTTAAACACAGTCAAGAACCATTTCTAATGATTTGAGGTCGGGGATGTAACCAGGTTTTGGCTCGGGTTTGTGCGAACGGTTTCAAGATTCACGGGTTTTGCGTCTTGGCACACAAGTGATCGGGCCGAACACATTTGGGCGAAGGAGAATTGGGTAACATGTGTTAGAAGGGTACTCGTGTAATGCAACGAAATACATCTAAATTTTAATATTTTACTTTATTCTTTTATTTCAGTCGATGTTATAATATGATCTTATATGATTTTAAACAAAACGATTATGTTTTTATTTTTGAGTAAAACATAAATTTAAAGATATCATAAAAATTTGACAAAAACATATCGATATTAGTATCAAATTAATTATTTAAAATTCTTATTTTTTGTGTAATTTTTTTATTCAATTTTTTTTATTATAATTTAATTTATGTTCAATAACAAAGTAATTTATATTTAGTTTAATAATATAATTTTCTTATAAAAATAATAATTAATTATTTTGTTAGAACTCGATAATTATCTTAATTATATTTTAGATTTTTTATATTTTAAAATGAGATGTTTATCTTTATTTGATTATGTTTATCTGCAGTTAGTTACATAAATTCAAATATAAAGCTTTAATAAGTTATACTTATGCATAATTTACTTATAATCTTAAATTTTAAATAATATATATATATAAATGGTTTTTAAGAGTTTTTTTTATTAAATATTTTATAATATATTATAGATTATATTATAAATTACCATGTAAAACCAACCCCTCTAATTTATATATTGAACGTTAGATTCAATTTCATCCAATTAAAACACGACCGCATGTTTTTAGGAGTTTTAAGAAATTACACATCTGGCCCTTGAAGTATCAAACATGTGATTTTAACCACTATCTTTTTCAAAAAACTACAAAAAAGCCTATATACTTTATAAAATTACATTTGTCATTGGAAGTGACTTTTGTCTACCTCTAGGCTCTAGTACCATGGCTTCTCAACTGATTCCACAATAGAACCACAATCACATGTAAGGGGCCGTTTACCTAAACACTTACCCGGTAAACATTTATCGGTAAAATTCAACACTATCGCTTACTTATCGGACAAGATTTTATTCACTAAAACGCATCGTATGCAACAATTTATCCTGGTAAGCGCTAACCATGGTAAGAGTCCTCGTCTTCACTTACTGGGTATGACTCGAGATTCTTGCCCTCGCTCTTACCGGGTAAAATTCTTAATCCTTGCCATATTCATCCGGTAAAGTAAAGTGAATTGGTAAGCGCTTACCCAGGTAAGCGTTTGGTAAACGGCACCTAATATAAGTAAATGTACGGTCTGCATATATATGTATGTGAACATCTTGCAAGATGAAACATACCCCCGTGACGTCTATGCGCACAGATTTTCCGAGCATTCACATGAACAATCAAACATTTGCAACTTCAATAACTTTGGAATTTCAAATCTGTTCATTAACACATGTTCATATGGAGGTTTACCAGTATCATGTAATGCAGAGAGAAGTTCAGATTCAGCAGTTGTGAATGATCTAATCCAATGGGGTGGGACGTTCATGTTAGAAATGGGTATCAATACATAGAGAACTTGGATTTGGTGTTTTCAAATACTTGTTCGGCAATAATGGCTCCATTGCCATCAGCTTTTTTGATCTCTAGATTAGCCTTCTGATAAAATCCAGTACCTCTTAATGCATCTGCAATGAAATCATCGAACCCAATCGCAATGGCCGCTTCCGCTTTAGCACCATAAACTAACCTCTGCAACCACACAAAAGACGATAATTACTTGATCAATATATAGATATATATATATATATAGGTGGAGGTTCAAACGGGAACTCCTCTATTTTACGAGAATGCGATAACACCCTTCTCACATGTGATAATACGCGTGAAGGGACCCTGTGATGTGCGGATGACGTGTTCTATGACTTCGGCCGCACCAAAGGTTGTATGCGTCTATGATTTAGCATCACATATGATGGTTTTGATGGATTATAGTATCATCTCAACAATACCCTTATCACATGTGATAATACATGTGAGGGGGATTAGTGGTGTAAGGGTGACTTGGCCCGCAACCAAGATTGCATCGAAAATCACCCACGTCTCTGATTTAGTATCACATGTGTATCATATGTGACGAAATAATAGTATCACATGTGTATCATATGTGGCGGAATAATAGTATCACATGTGTATAATATGTGACGGAATAATAGTATCACATGTGATTGTCTATAATAAAAGGGTGTTCTTGCGTTCTTGTAAAATGAAGGTGTTCTCGAAGTAGAAAGTACACATGCATTATGGCAAGAGAAATTAGCATTTGATGGTAAGAACGTTTATTTAGTCAATTTTGAAACAAATATTTGTAAATTTGACAAATGATTGATATTTCAAGTCTTTTTGGCAATTAACCTTAAAGGTTTTTGTTGAAACCCCACAATAGCATATCCATTCTTGCTGTTGCATCATGACAAATAAGCAATCCAAGAACAAAATGTTCTTTTAGTTAATAACTGACATTTTGTTCTAACTCAAGGATATGGGTCAGCACATCTGATAGGGTAATATAGGATAAATTACCATAAAACAAATGGTTTATAATAGGTCATAACTGAAATAGTATATTAGAAGTCTAGCCACTTTCACAAATATATATTCACTTTTCTCTAACTAACAATTCCAGCAAAAGAATTTGTCTTCAAGTGTGTGAGATAATACACATAAGCAATCTCGGATAATGAATAAGCAATTTGGCACTTAAATGTGATTATGTCGACATTGAAATAAAGATTTGAAAAAATTCATTATGATCCTACCC